CTATAACCACCGTTTTCGTAGGACTAAATGCTGGGACTAGGGGTATATGAGGGGAAGATCAATTAATTATGAGTTTGTAGCCGTCTGTAGCTTAGCAGTTAGAGCATTGGCCTCCGGCAAATGCCTTCTCTGATGCACGGGTTCAAATCCCACCAAACGCCTCGAGTTTTTTCACAATTGGGTCAACTCAAACTCGAATTATGAGTCGTTATTGACCAGTCGTAGTCAACCCAAGACTTGGACAGCTCGCCTGCAAGGCACTCGTTTCAATGACAAATTGGATCATCTCCTCAATCAATCTTATTTTACACGTCTGCGATGACATTTTTTCTTCTGCCAGCCCACTGCGTAGGCATCAACTGGGAAAAGAACTGATGCTTTACTAAATTTCAGTACGGTTGACGTTTACACTTGGCAGAAAGAGGCACCTCAAACTTACCTGATTCTGAATGGCTGCTTCAATTTCAGGATAGCCCTTCTTATCCAGCCGCATACCCGGAAAGAGATCATCAATGAGCGACATGAAGAGGGGCTCGTCTTCATCCACTAGTTTGCTGACATTCATGTCTCGAAGGACACGCATTACAATCATGGGTTCCGACTGCTCTGGATTTGCCCTCTTAAAGGCTCCCAAGGTGCGCAGCACGGAGAGGATGTTTCGTAGACCAAAGTCATAATGGACCTAGGGTTGGGGTCGCCAGAGCAACATGATAAAGATTAAAAATAAAACAACATTTGTATTTACAAAAACAAAGTAGTTCACGCTTTTACATATCGAAAAATAATGTGTGATTCATGAATTGGCGTCATATGCTCGAAGGCTGTGCAAAAATGAATAAATCTTGTTTCATAAGAAAGTGACATTGCACCGATCTGGTTGCGAGTTAGAACATGTCTCCCAATTCTCCAAATGCTCTTATGGGTGTGACTGGATGACGACAGCTGATAACATAGAAATAGACATTCAAGTCTATCTCGTAATTTGAGATATTTATTCTACCTGAATTTTGGGTTCATCATCGTAGAGGTCACAGTACTGAGCTCAAATAAAAAGTTTATGTAGTAAGAGGGAGGAGAATTGTCGGGCACCGGATCAATTTGTTCATTATCCTGAGCAACGACACCCTGACGAATTTCGACATCACTGAACATTAATTAATTTATACCTCTATAATTGCCCCCCTCCCAGACCTTTCAGGCTTCTTTTGGCTGTCGACGACCTGTCATTTAGAAAGACGGGACTGACTTTAGAGGTATTTTTGCCTTTGACTTACAACAATAACCTATTTTCACATTTTCAGTAACCCGACTTTCCCTTTTTTCGTTAAATGCCACTAAAAGGAGGTTGAATTTCCATTTTCGTTAACTTCCACCAATATAAGGTAAAATATCCCTCAATTGGCATCCATATCCTACGCAACAGGAGTTTATGTTGATGGAATTTTATTCTATTTAGTATATTGAAGCAAATAAAATCTTATTTAAATTAATATTTTTTGATCACTACCGTCACATTTAAATATTCACTTACGCTCACTAGTCAAGAGTTAAATGTTTGATCACAAAATACGTTAGGCAGTTAAGCGAAGGAAAAGATATTTAGGGGGCCCTACAAGTCAGTTTTGCAGTTCAAAATAACCATTCTGGTCTACCTCACGTCTAGCAGTGTTCATTCTAGTAAGAATTCGCTTGTTTTAACTAACCTGCTTCGAGAGTTGCTCCTCACATAGTTTGTATAGGGTGAAAAACTTCTTGGCCAGTTCAATGTTCTTCACAAATCCGCAGGCGGCTAGTTTTACACGAATGATGATTTGGCGGTCGGGCACCATCATGGACACCGTGCGGAAGTTTATTTTCAAGTTCTCGGGCAGCTCCTGACGTCCAGCGTAGCCAGGGTTCTAGTATATATAAATGTACAATCTATAGCTACTGACGTTTATTTAGTAGCAATTGCAAATGAAATTGCGTGGGTTACTTACCATTGTCAAAAAGATGCCAAACTCGGGGTCCATGTCGACGGAATCGCCATCAGTGAAAATGAACTGCGATCGACGTTCCTTCTTACAGGTAAGCACG